CCAGGGTTCTGACTTTAAGAATTCTGAAAAATAAATCAGAATTTAAAAAGTCTGAATTCTAATTTCAGAATCTTTTATCTCAGATTTCTAGAATCCAAAAGTTAAAGTCAGAATTCTAAACTTTTTTTTCAGAAATCTGACTTTGATCTCAGGATTCTAGAATTCAGAGATTAAAGTTGGTCTTCTGAGGAAAAAATTCAGAATATAAGATTTCTGTATCCAAAAATGTCAGAATTCTGACATATTTTTCTCAGCATTTTGACTTTAGTTTTATCATGTTTTTAAAAATCTAAGTATTTGAGATTAAAGACAGAATTATTATCTCATAAAGTTAAACCTCAGAAATCTGTTTGTATTTTCAGTCATAATTCTGGAATTTCTCCTTTTTTTTCCTCTCATAACATTTTAAAAAGCCATAAATGTATTTTCAGTCTAATCTGAAATTAATCTCACATTTCTGACATGTTTTTCCTCAGAAGTCTGCATTTAAAGTCTGAATTCAGAGACTCAAGTAATATGAAGAAAAAAAATAATTGTTCTGGTTTGTTCTGGATTGTTTGCAGCTTTAAAACAAGTTTACCTGCAGCCTGTAAATTACCTGAGTAATCACAGACGACTTAGTGGACAAAGGTTCTGACATTTCTATGTTACTCTGATAGCAAACTGGAGCAAATAAAAAGATTTAACAAAGGTGTACCCTGAGACTTTGACCTTTGACCCAGTGACCTGGAAATCAATTTGGATCATCCAGGAGGGCTCCAGCTGTGCAGCTTCACAAAAACCTTATCAGTGAAATAAGACTGTAAAAAAACAAAACTAAAATCTGTTTCAAATCTTAGTTTTAAATCTTCAGCTTCTGTCTGCCTCTAGTTTGCAGTCAGGGGAGTGACAGACAGGTGTGTGTGGTTACCATGGATATCTATCTATCTATCTATCTATCTATCTATCTATCTATCTATCTATCTATCTATCTATCTATCTATCTATCTATCTATCTATCTATCTA